CTCCGCACGCGACCTTGAAAAGACCACCAGTGAAAGACCCAGAAAATCGTCTAGAGGGTGGCCTGAAAGTTCACAAAATGGTCCATGTTCCTCCCAGTAACAATAAGAAGAATGGTGCCATGAGAAAGTGTCGAGTGTGTGCTAAGCACAAGATTAGAAAAGAAACAAGTGTCATGTGTGCAAGCTGTGGTGTGGCTCTCTGCAAACTTTCATGTTTCAATGTTTATCACACGAAGAAAAACTACTAAAAAGGTATGGAAAGACATTTATTGCATAAAATATTGTCTTTTAATAGTTCCTGAAAATTTCATTTTTAAAAACCAGTTTTTGTTGATGTTGTTTAGAAAAAAGTAAGCACATGCATCTTAGCGACATAAGGTTTAAAGGGCCTACCAGGACAGGGGTGGGATTTAAATACCCTTCGCACCAGTCAAAGAGTTAAGCTATGAAGTTAAACTAGCAGTAAAAACCTATGTTCAGTTTTATTCAATGTAATATTTATAAGGATGCAACTGTTCCATTATTTTCTAATGCTTTTCACTCTTTTATCCCTTTGGTAGCAGTTTCTAAAATATGCATAAACGCCAGCAAGTTACACTTTAAATTTGCAAGTGTTGGATAAAACAGGTACTGTGTCTGTTGGATAGTCTTCAGCTATGAACAGGAATATTTTGTGAGAATGTGAACTTCGATAACTGGTATGAGGTACAGTCCAATGAAGAGTTTTGGTGAACATGGTGATACATGAAGTATGGTCTACCAGAATGTAATAGCATGTGTTTTGGTAGATGTGTACCAGTGTTTCAGAGTACCCTGGTGCCCCCATCTACATGGCAGAAGATTGGCTTACCAAAGTACAATGTCACATCTTAGAAGTATGTAATGTAACGTGTTTCGTTACTGAATACGCCGTAGAGATCGTTAATTGGTTTATTGAACAATCTACAAATATCGGCTACAATTAATTATCACAATGTTGCGGGGTTTCGCACTTTATAACCCTAATCGCATTAATCTGTTAACACTGTTGCGGGGTTTCACGATTTATAACCCTATGCGCAAATCAGCTCACTCTGTGTTCAGTAGTCTACACGTTTACCGTAGGGGAGCTGTGCCCTATTGTATCACACACACTCCCAATTACACAATTACACACACGTCCGGTTCTTCTTTCCACGACGGCTGCTATACTCCAACTGTAGTTGGCTGACTGGAGAACTGTTGATAACACACTCCGACTCGTAGGCTTGCTCGGAACTATCTTCGGCGATGGCCACGTTACAACTAACTCGTAGCTGCTGTGCAGTTTCCTTATATATCCGCAGTGGTGCCTGTTGCATGCCACGTCATAGTAGTAAGCGGTTCTGCGTCACCGCGCGTTGCATAGCTACCAGGATGCGGGGACTCGGCTAACTTCGGCTCCGCTCGTGATGTCACCGCGGGTGGAGTGGCGGGGTGATAACTCGCCTATTACGCGAGCGCTACGTTACCGCTACGTGCCGCTGGGGAGGTAGGTGTCAACATGTCACAGTAATATTCATATTCACAATTATGTGAACCTTGGTGACATGCCTTAGGGTTTCACAGAAGCAAAGAATTTCTTGACCAGCTGCTTAACTCTCCCCTTTAAATAAACATTTTATCTACCATGGAGCTGTTTAGTTTTGGACATTTACAATGGGAAGTCAATAATTATCCACAATGTAGTTGTATTCGTATTTCTCTTGCCAGCACTGTCGTTTTGCGCAGCATTGCTATGCATGGTTTCCATCTTATTATTTCTGCTCAGGTTTGATGTTGCTAGGTCAGTTCCATTGTTGCTGCCTTGACATTAATCATGGCTGGTCTGCTTTCTGTTTGCACTGAAGAAGAGCAATGTTCAGTGATCTGGTTCTTGTGGTTGGGAGGTGTATCAGAGGCCACAGTCTATCAAAGACATTCAGCACAATATGGGAGCAGTGTTTTGCTGCAATGGAGTGTGTACAAATAGATAGAAATTTCAAAAATGATTGCACAGGTGTTAGGCATGAGGAAGGAGCCAGACACCCAACCATGGCCACAGATAAGGACAACATTGAGCTTGCACATGAGATGGGTCTGTTAGGTAGACGACTATTGATAAAGTGGCACATCGTCTGAAAATTTGTCATGGTTCTGCCTATGAAGTCATCTACAACAGACTTGGATTTCATAAAGTCTGTGCAAGATGAGTCCCAAAACAACTCAGTGTTGCATAAACAAACGTGCTTGGATATACCAACAACATTTGGATCACTGTGAAAACGAACATGACACCTTCTTAGACAGAATCATCACTGGTGACAAAACATGGATCCATCATTGTGAGCCAGAGGGTAAACGACAGAGTCTGGAATGGGAACATCCACATTCACCCAGCAAGAAAATGTTCAAAAGCCAACCATCCTCAGGAGAAATGATGCTTACAGTTTTTTTGGGATTCACAAGGCCTAGTATCAGGAAAGGGGCACAACAAGAAAGTACTCATTACATTGAGATTCTTGCTGACTGGCTAAAACCTGCAATTCGAAGCATGATGATGTCCGTCCACATACTGATGCCCACACTGCTGAAACCTTCTGGAAACTCAAGTTTGATGTAATGGCTCATCCTCCGTATAGTCCCAATCTCAACCCTTCTGACTGTCACCTGTTTGGTCCACTCAAGGAGGCCATCATTTCACTTCAAACCAAGAAATGAAGGAAGCGGTGCATGCGTAGCTTGCTTCTCATCCAAAAGCATTGTTTTCTGAGAGGATAAGGAAGCGTGGGCAATGATGGACCAAGTGTATTGAAAAGCAAGGGGACTACATTTAGAAATGATGTTAATGTATGTTTTCTATTTGTATTGAAATAAAATGTATGGCTACATGTGGATAATTATTGACTATGTAGTTTTTCACCTCAGCGACCAAGAATTAATGAGTGCGTAGCAGTCCTATATGTTTGATCTAGAAGATCTATCCAGTCAATGCTTATGCACTCTCAGTGTGTTGATTTTCACACTAGAAGGGTTAAAGAAAAGAAGTAAAGCTATCCCTATAACAGGCTGGAGGCCCATATGTTTGTGAGATATCAGCACACTAGAAGAGTTACTAATCTAATTTTGTTAATGTTCATTCCACTATTAAAGTATAATTTTGCAGGTTGAAAAGTGTGTTCAGATCAAATTTTTCAAAGTTAACAATAATCAGCAGAGGTTGAAATTTTCACTATGGTTGTTGACCTAAACAACTTTTTAGTGTTTTGACTGTAATTACCAAAACTTTGAAACTTGAGAGCATGACTGCATAGGTCAGAAAAACCATATATGGAACATACTGTGTGATTACCATTGCATTATAGCACATAAAAATTGAAGTGGCATGTGAGGTTGGCAAAATAACAGCTAAAAAGTTATGCAAGAGGGATCTGTGACATTTCTGAGTAGTTGTTGTATGCATGACTTTCTACTTTGGTTTCTGATATAGGTACATGTGTTGTAATATAGCAGCATTTGGAGCAGGAAAAACTTGCAAGTTATATCAGTTGATACAACTGCATTGACTTTCTTTTCTGGTTACAGTGCACACTAGAACAGGAAGTTCGACAGTGTGGGTTGCTCATCATTTGGACTGACTGTGACAGGGAAGGTGAAAATATTGGATTTGAAATAATCCAAGTTTGTCATGCAGTTAAACAAAATCTTAGAGTGTATAGGTAAGCTGTTATGCAATCATTAAAAAGTAGTTACCTTAGTGAGATAACAAATTTTTGTGAACGTGTGGCTTATAATAAAGTATAAAGTAATATGAATATGTGGTAATCCAGTGGAGGCAAATTATTGGTGTCAATTGAGCTGATACCAGTGATTACAGGTGTTGTCTACAGTAACATCTGGAAACATTTGTTGGTTCAATAAGCCATATTAGATATATTCTGCATTTTTCACCCTGAGTACCAAAAGATGCTGTTGAGCAGAGAATAATTGCTACCAAAACACAACATTGAATTTTATTTTTGATACCATTTGTTACCAGTTACTTATGCCTGTGAAAAACATAAATTCAGATTTAAGCAACTATCTCAAACATTAAATGTCACTCATATCACAGAAGAAATGTATACAGGCAAGAACTGAAATATGAGTTGTTCAGCACAAACATTGGTGTAGCAATGAGGACATTTGAGACTGGTGCAAATTTCACACTGGCAGTAAGGAGGTTCACTTCTCCTGTGGTAAACATATCTTAGTTTTTGAACTTTGGGTAACAGAATTTTGCTAACAATTATCATAATCTGGGGCTTAGTGATAGTAAGAACATTTGAAAATTTGATACCTGAATTTTGGTTTGCAGAAGCGATACAGTGATTCAAAATAGCCCACAGAGAGGCTCATAGAGCCCCTTAACACTGAGCATTTTCGGCTCTGCATTAATGTTGTAAGGTCATTACCTAAAAAGTGGTGCATCAGATATTCTTTGTTGATTTATCTGTGGTCTTTCTCAGTTCTGGCATATGCTGGGATCAGTATCCTAACACTTCGCGGACCGGTGATTTAAATATTTAAATCACCCTGGGGACCGGCGTTTTTAAACCTACTACCCTAACTTGTGCACTGTTCACTTTAAAAATTAATATAAAATCTCCTAATTAATTTTATGAACTAAAATTTTTGGAGAAGACTTACCAGAGCTCCTAGAAGTGCTTCAGAGTGTGATATTTTTGGAAACGTTCCCCTCTGCGAAGAGGCATGACGCAGAACTTGCAGACGTAGGAAATCTTGCTTCGCTTCTTGTGCACAGCCACACATGGCACTGCCTAGAAGGATACTTCCCTGTCAATTGTTCGCTCATCACAATTTTCACGAGGGTATGTTTTCACATATCACCTAAGAGTCGCCCAGGGGGGTCCATATGAGTCCTCCGTGGGGTGGGAGTAGATGGTCCCGGTCTTACTACGTCTCTGTCTGACGCAGGTTCTGCCGCCCCCGTGAGGTCTGTAGCCCAGGCTTTTGCCACATTCATGAGAAATGCCTTGTATTTCAATGTTGAATTTTCGTTTAGCTCTTTGAAAACCAAAAATGAATTGAAAAGGGTACAATTTATAAGCCACAAGGCAACTTTCTTCGTCCATTTTACTGTTTTCCTAGGAAGGGAATAATAGGCCAAGTATTGGTCTGCTCTATCAACTCCCTTCATGAACATATTGTACTGAGAAATACAAAGAGGCTTCTTCTTCACTTGCCCATGTCATCTTTGAACATCGACCATGCTCAAATTGTGAATAGTGGAAATCATATTCACAACGCGAGTATCNGGATCCAAAATGGAAACAATAGTTTCTTGCAATTTCTTGCCTTCACCGGAATAAATTTCTAAATTTCCAATATAGCCTGAAGTGCTTTCTGTGACTACATGAACAAGTAGGGCATACTTTGTGAGTTTCCCAGGATTATACGTTCAAAAACGAAGCCTTCCCCTCCAAGGAATCGCAGATTCGTCCAAAGACAGTTGCTGCTCTGGCTTATAAACTGTCTGAAATTTCTCAACGAAAAAGTCAAATAAGGGCTGAATTTTGAAAAGCCTGCCTGTTGATTGTGGTTGCAGTTCATTATTACTGAAATGCAAACACCACCATATCTGTTCAAATCTCTTACGACTCATGAGTTTGCTGAAAATGGGAATTTCTAAAAATGGATCAGTGGACCAGAAGTCTTTCAAATTATCCCTCTTTGTAAACCGCATTAGAATGATTATTGCCAAAAAAATTTCCATTTCTGCTGAAGTGACATCCACCCACTTCAACACCTTATAGGTACTGTCGTACGCCTCACCGTGTTGGAGATAGTATCTGTTGGTCTCCTGACACAACATGTCAAAGAAACTATCTCCAAATAACAGTTCAGCTACTTCAGACACTTGCGTAGGGTCCGATGGCATTTGTCTCACCCCCTGGATCACCAGTAAACTTTCTCAAAGTGGGTGTTTTGTCCACTTTACCCCATGTGGCTGTCCCCGCAATGCTAGCACTCGCACTTTCATCGGAGCTCTCACTGTCACTTTCACTTTCTCTTGTGGTCACAATATTTTTGGGGCTCCTGACACTGCCCTCGCTATCAGAAGACGAAGCAGTTGGCAAGTCAGATAACTCATCGGAGATCAAATCACAGATTTCTTCTTCTCCGAGAGCTCGTGCGGCCTTCAACTGCTTTCGTCTCTGAGCCGTGTTGACACTGAGAATATCTTGCGTCACACATAGAAGCTTCGACTTGAACAAAGGGACTTTTCTTTAGAGTGAGAGGGGAATAGAGAGTGATCATGTTGCTGACTCGGAAAACAAACATTCCGAGGGTCAGCTATGCAGTACTTTTACAGACACGTGGCCACCAAAGCAAGGAATAGTGTGTTGCAACATAACGTGTCCTAAAAGCCTAAATCTAGGCGACCGGTCTGCCACATTTAAAACCCAAATGCCTAGGCCTAGGCGTCCAGTCCGCGAAGTGTTAAAAGTGACAAGTGTGCTTTCCTCTCCTATCCCTACCAGTTCAGTGTACAATATTGTAGCCTCATTAAATAAAGTCTGTAGTTGATATACCATTAAGTCACTAGCCTGATGCTTTCACAGATAACCTTCAACTTAATAACAAGGTACCCTTCTTTGATTTATCTCCTGGGTCTTGGTGCCCTGTAGTATTATAGAATACCATTCTTTCAACTTGAAAGCAGATAGAAGTCCCACCAGTTTGGTGATAGCCAAATAGTGGTAATCTGGTGGTGGGATTGCTTTGTGTTGATTAATTACTTTATATTGTGTTATTATTTTTAATATGCTAATTATGGTTTAAAACAATCCATTGAGGGGTACTGCATTATAAAATGCATGATATAAGAAAGAAAAACATTTCGTTAGTATTAAATTCTTTCACATAATCCATAATCCATACATGAATTGACACATGGCATAAAGCATAATGGGAACACTGTAGTGTATTTGGTTGAGTCACTGTGCTACAAGCCAGAAGGTCATGGGCTCAATTCATGCTGAGTTCGTTGGATTTTTCAATTGACATAATCCTTCCAGCCACACTATGGCCCTGGGGTCAACTCAGCCTTGATAGAAATGAGTACCAGGAATCTTCCTGGAGGCAAAGGGTGGCCAGCGCATAAGACTCACAACCTTACTGGCATCTGTGTGCCGATTGTCTAGAAAATGTGGGACCCTCGAGTTCTTATGACCCTATGGGCCTCCAGGGCCTGTTATAGGAACACCTTTATCTTTTTCTTTAAATACACACACAAAGCATAAACCTCAGTAACATGTGTGGTTTTTTATTGGAGTCATTTCTTGGCATGTATGATGTTGTGAAGTACAAGTGTACAGAAGAGGTTGATATGGTAATAACACTCTAGACTTGTATTTAGGAAGTGCTAAGTTTGAATCTTGACTGAGATACTGACTATCATGACTGAAGTTGTTTATAGTTTTCCTCAGTCCCTCCAGACAAATGTTGGGGCTGTACCGTAATTAGGCCATGACCTGTACCTTCCAAATCCTCTCTAATTCATCAGTCATGCTGTCATTCAATACTATATATTCCAGATACAGCATCATTAAGTAACCAAAAACAAACAAACTCCGTGGTTTTAGTCCGCAAGCGAACTATACCGACCAAGAGACCACCGCTTGTCAGCGAAGTTAGTGCCAACTTTAGCGGATAGAGGGTGTCGCGTGGTCAGTGCAACGAATCCCCACGGCTGTTAATTTCAGTTTTCTAGCCCCGTCATTAAGTAACCATAAAAAGTAAAAAGTAAAGGTATCCATGTAACAGGCCGTGGAGGCCCATAGGGTTATGAGATGCTGAGATTCCCACATTTTTTAGACAGATGGTGGCAAGGTTGTCAGCCCTATGCCCCAGCCGCCCTTTACCCCCAAGAACATTCCAAGAATATTCCTGGTACTCATTTCTGTTAGAGGCTGAGTCGACCCCAGGGCCATAGTGTGGCTGGAAGGATTAGGTCAATTGAAAAAAATCCAATGACCTCATCGGGACTTGAACCCACGACCTTCTGGCTTGTAGCATAGTGCCTCAACCAACTATGCTACCGTGTTCCTCCTAAGTAACCATACAAAATAAAAGTAATAAATAAATATACAGGCACCTGTACTGTATGTAATGTGTGCTTTTGATTGCCTTCATTGGCATTAGATTTCTGTCTGCAGTAAAATGAACATGAGACCCATTGAGGGTTGCAAAATTACAAAGAACAGTATTGTTAGATTTGAGGTACTTACAACAGTAGTTATAAAGAGTTCTGTCTTCTGGGATATGACTATGTAGTCTGTTGAAAGACAACTGATATTTCGTAGGAACATGTCGCCTCCATCTTCAGGATTAAAGGGTATGCTGAGGAAGAAACCAGCACAAGGCAAACATCAGGCTGAGCAAGTAAGCAATTTTAGAGCAAAATCTCAGAGAACATAGGTCAGTCAATAGAGCAAACACTACAGACACTTGCTTCCTGCTTCATGGTGGTTTCTTGCTTGGTTTAGTCTTTGAGCATAAAGATGGAGGCTTCATGTTCCTCCAAAACATTGATTTACCTTCAGTAGCCTGCATGATGTTCTAGTCCAGAAGATAGAACTCTAATAACATGTTTGGAATATGTGTGTAGCACAAATTGGGGAATCCATTTCTGCCATTGTTTTTATAAGTAAAAACTCTGTGTCCCGTAGTCACCAAACTATACCGACCAAGCAGCCACCGCTTGTCGGTGATGCCAACTTTTGCGGATAGAGGATGTCTCGTGGTCAGCGCAATGGACCCCACAGCTGTTAATCCCGGTTTTCTAGACCAGAGCCGTTACTTTTCTATTCAAGTCGCTCCTCAATTATCCTCACAAAGCTGAAAGGACCCCGTTCCAGACCCACTACTTCACAGAAATTCTGGTAGCACCAGGAATCGAACCCGGACCTCTGATTCTGTAGCCAGGAACTCTGAGCACTAGACCACAGAGACAGTCGTTTCATATAAGTACTCTCATGATTTTGAAGGTGGGCTGCTGTAGTAATTGTAAAAGTCCTATGAACATAGATAAGTATATTATAATTTATGTAACTACAATAATCAAAATGATTGAGAGTGATGTATTTATACCCTTATATGTCTATCTAATTTTAGAGCAAAATTTTCAGAGATCACAGCTCAGTCTGTACAGCGAGCACTCCAAACACTTGCTGAGCCAAACAGAAACATCAGTAATGCTGTTGATGTGAGACAGGAGCTAGATCTGAGGATAGGTAAGATTATATGTGTGTTACTCCTTCTAGGAACACAGTTGTTTGTAATGTTCTGTTAACTGTTATCCCTCATCTTCTTGCTTAGCATGTTTGCTCTATTCTTACACTCATGGAGCTCGGCCCTTCTTGAGGAGCCGCCAAATCTGCAGCTACTCAAGAATTTCCCAGCATTTTATGGAACCTGAAGGTTCATTACCATGTTCACAACAGCCCTCCATTGGTCCCTATCCTGAGCCAGATCATTCCAATCCACACCATTCCACCCTATCTCTCTAAGATCAATTAAGATCCATTTTAATAATGTCCACCCACCTACACCTTGGTCTTCCCAATGGCCTCTTTCCTTTTGGCTTTCCCACCAATATCATATACATTCCTCTTCTCCCCCAATCCTGTTATGTGCCCTGCCCACCTCATCCTCCTTGACTTGATCATTCTACTTATACTCGGAGAAGAGTGCAAGTTATGAAGCTCCTCATTATGCACTTTTCTCCAACCTCCTGTCACTTCATCTCTTTCTGGTCCAAATATTCTCCGCAACAACCTGTTCTCGAACGTCCTCAGTCTGTGTTCCTTCCTTAATGTCAGAGACAAAGTTTCACACCCATACATAATTACAGGCAAAATTGTAGTTTTGTATATTCTAATTTTTATGTTTTGTACAACAGACTAAAAGACAAAAGCTTCTGGACTGAATGATAGCAAACATTCGCCGAGTTCAGTCTCATCTTAATTTTCTCCTGAATCAGGTTTTAATTGTTATTGTCATTCCCAGATAACTGAACTCTGCCACATTTTCAAAACATCTTTTACCTCTTCTTATGTCATCATTTTGCCCTGAATTTTGGTGACAAGACAGCAACATATACTTTGTTTTCTCTGTGTTTACTTCTAGACCAAACTGCTTACTATCGTCAATTAAAGTTTATGTGTTTTTCGTTATGGGATCTATATTATCACCCAGTAGATTCACATCATCATCATCATCATCACAGACCAACAGCTGATGTGTCCCATTAAATTTCTCTCCCACCTGGTTTTCCTGGACCCTCCTAATGGCTTATTCTAAAGGAAAGTTGAAAAACAGTGCTGATAAAGCATCTCCTTGATTTAGACCATTCTGGTTAGGGAAATTATCAGACAGATGTTTACCAATACGAACATTACTATGCGTTTCGTTTAAACACATTTTAATCAGCCTAACTAGTTTCATGTGCACCCCAAACCCTATCAGAATATTGCATAACACTTCCCTCCTAACTGAATCAAAGATCTTCTTGAAGTCTACGAATAGCTGATGTACTCTCTTATTGTACTCCCATTTTTTCTCTAGTATCTGATGAATGCAAAAGATCTGATCAATTCTTGATCTGGTACATCAAAACTCACACTGATGATCCCGAATAATTTCATCCATATGTGGATGTTGAGAGAAGAATATTGGATAAAATTTTGTATGAAGTTGATAGCAGTGATATCCCCCCATAATTACTATAGTCAGTTTTAGCACCCTTCTTGTGAACTGGTGCAATCATTATGCCAAATAGAAGTAATTAGCTTATGGATCTTAGAACATACTATTCCACCTCCTGCTTGAGTAAGTTCTGCCAGAATTTGATCACTATCTGGTGATTTATACCTTTTCAATTTTGCAATAGCAATTTCAACCTCAGGAGGGCCAGGATCAGATATTATTTGCTCAACTTTATGTATTTCTATCTGCCTAACATCACTGGCCCTATGTACAGTCAGTAACTGAGAGAAGTAGTTCTTCCACCTATTCAAAATGCTGTGGGAATCTGCAAACAGATCACCATTGTCTGGTCCTTCACCAAGTTACTGCTAGTTTCTTAACTCCTCTTAAAGTCATTTATTCCTCTATACAGTTCTCTAATGTTCTTGTTCTTACTGTTCATTGCAATCTCATCAATTTTCTCTTTCAGATATTTCTTCTATTTTTTCATGAAATGCCTGCCGGTTTCATGTCTTATGTTGTTCAGATTATCCCCATTTACTTTGCTTGGATCCTGTAGCCACTGCAATTTGGCTTGTTTCCATAGGTCTAATAATTCTGAGCATCCTTCGTCGAACCGTGGCTTGTGCTTTTTAAATTCAACATAACCTAGACTCTTTTTAGTATAAATGTTGATATTCTCTCTAATAGTATCCCAAGCTTTGTTAACATCCATCTCGATATGTAAGTTTTCTAAAGCCGCAAACCTATGTGAGATTTCAGCATGATACTGCTCTTTACCCTCTACCTTATTTAATTTCTTGAGATTGAACCTCTCCATATGAACTCTGTGCGTTGTTTGTTTACTCACTGCCAGTCTTACCCTGACCTCTGTCACCACCAGGTAGTGGTCAGTAGCACAATCTGCTGCCCTGAATGATCAGACATCAAGTATACTTGAGTGCCATCTCCTATCTATCAAAATATGGTCAATCTGGTTGTGTGTCTTCCCATCAGGGGACACCCACGCAAATTTATAAATGTTAATAATGTGGGAGCGTTGTACTTTTGACAGTAAGATTTTTGGATGAGTATGTTTGCTAGGACACAATAATTTTGAAAGTGTCTACATTATAATATCTGTAAAACACTATGTTACAAGCTGGAAGGTGGCAGGTTTGAATCCCAATGAGATGGTTCTTTTCAATTTGCCTAATCCTTCAAGCCGCACTATGGCCCTGGTGTTAACTCAGCCTCTAACAGAAATGAGTACCAGGAATCTTCCTGGGGGTAAATGGCAGCCGGCGCATAAGGCTGATAACCTTACCACCATCTGTGAGCTGATTGTCTAAAGAAAAAGTGGGAGCCTCAACATCTCACAACTCTAAGGGCATTCACATCCTGTTACAAGGATAACTTTACCTGAAGAGGAAACCATAATGAGTTCACACACCATTGAATACATAAGGCTCATAAAAAGCTCTTTTGCTCTTGTGTTTTAGTAAAATAGAGTCTGTGCTCTTTGTTTAACACCATTGGTTTGCTTATTGAGAATCAAACTTAAGGGTTTCCCTAATGTATTTATACATTTTATGATCAGGAAGGCAGATCGTATACAGGCAGACATAGGAGTTTCTATTCTGCTAGGCTCATGGAAACACGAATATGTTTTTGACCTTTTCTCTGTCATAAATTATCTCAAAATCGGGCGCAAGTTCAATCCTTTCAATCTTATCCGGTGGCCACATAAATCACTTTGTAAATACTATCTCTGACTGAGGTAAGTATTCAGTTCTGCAAACCTTCATGTAAGACAGTTTTCATGTCTGTCAGAAATTACCATAAGTATGTATGTACAATTGACACATTAACAGGAAACTCACAGTTATCTGGAATTGTCATCTAACTTTCAGAAATTTCGAAGAAGGTTCACCATTTTTATAAAGTTATTCAAAAAGAAATTTTCAATGCACATATCTTCGCCCTCCACATGATAGTTCTCACCCCACAAACAACACAAGACATCCTCTGTTATTCAGGTGCCATTGCAGTAGAAGCTAATTGAATTTATGATCACAGAGAAATATGTGTATCAGAAGTCTTTCGTCCATAACTCCTCTACATCATCTAGGAAGACTCCCATGCTAGAATTAAAACATAATGTTCTGACACTGTATTGTTCCTGTAAAAATTCTTGTGCAACTAGGAAATTCATGTAACTAGCAAATCCCATCCCCCCATACATGCTGCCTAGCAATGAGTTTACTATATACCTGTACTCTGATTGTACTTTTACCAAGTAGTAAAAGTAATCTTAACATTGACATACATCTAACATATCTAATAGCAGTGGTTTCTTTTCCAAAAAGGTGTGTTTAACTGCTAACATAATTTTCTGTCTGTGACTTGCATTTAGTTTCAGAGGATTCTGTGTGAAGTTGAATTGGTGAAAGACAAATCTTTCATAATTGAGGGCTAATTTGTATCATTATATGTTGGAAATGCAACAAGTTTGCAGTTGAGGTCGGGGTTTAGAAGAACTTAAATTCATGTTCCAAAATTTTAGGAAATACAAAACATACTTTTGCATAATTGCATTACCCTCTGAAACAGATGTTGAAACAGCATCCAAGAGATTCCATATTTACAGAACAGTATAAATTTGGAATTGGAATTTCTAAATACATCTCTCCTGAAATTTTACCATCTCTTCCTCTCTCAAAACAAATTTTCTTCAGCATTACAAACTTGCCATCACACTCACATCATTGTTTGGAATTAGTTGTGGGTGTGTGTTCCAAATTAAATGTGGCGAACAAACTTATGGACATACATTTACAAAATGAATTACAAGCTGTGTCTCGTAGTATCAAAGTGGACATCGGTGACATGATGTAAGGTAAGTATTAACACACTGTCATATAGAAAGCCATGATGCCTAGCCCATATGGTGCTGATGTCACATAATTCAATGTTTCCTTTGGCTGTATTGTCCAGAAATGAAGGTTTCTCAAGGTTATGCTTGAGAATAGGATATTTGTACCTCTGAATAACAGACATGCCTTTTTTATTCCACACCCATAGATACAGCATTATTCAAAACTACTACTGATCATCTCCTCACTTAATTTTTCTTAGTAGATATGTTCAGATAAGTTTCCTTATGTATCCGGTGATGAAGTGAGATCATTTCAGTGAGAAAATTTGGACAGTGATATAGCCATAAGTGATCAGGACATCATCCTTTTTTCCTTCTACTAGTGACTGTGGAACAACTGTGGTTACAGATGAATATTTTGAATGCCAAGCTAATGATCATCTTGAGAGTGAAAATTGTGTGTGGTGAAAACCGTTTACAAACCAACTGGGATGTGATATCGTGCAGTTTGACAGATACTGTTTCTGAGGAACTTGCTACCTCAATCTTCATTGTAGACTTATAAACCATGTAACCATATGGGGAGAAATGGTCATTGGAAGGGAGAACAAATATTGAGGCTGAAAGCAAACCAGTGGGTTTGGTCCAAATTGAAGGGGACCCTGTGAC